AAAAAAGTCATGGTCAGGTGTGAAAGAGGGAGAAGGTCCACCCAACTTTGCATTCACCACTGCAGCAGAACATGTGCAAATTACAGCCCTCTACACCCAAATTACTGCGCTTCAAATAACATGCAAATTATAAAAAGCAATACACTGTGCTTTGTGCTGGGCCCTGGGCACATAAAATGGAACTTAAATTTGATCTAATGAATTTTAACCACAAAAAAACCCCCAAAGACCTCTTGAACCTGGTGTCAGGAAACTAATCTTTTAAAATCTTTTTGTGTTGAAGTCACTATAGATTGACAGGAAGTTGCAAAGACTGTACAAAGAGGTCCCAAGTTCCCTTTGTCTACTTTCCCCCAATGGTTGCATCTTATGTAATGCCCAATAGTTACATAAGATGAAACCATTGGGAAAAGCTGTCAAAATCAGAAAACTGACGTTGGTACAATGTGGTTGTATAGTTCTATGTCATTTTACCACCTGTGTAGATCTGTATAACTACCCCTGCAATCAAGATACAGGACTGCTCCATCACCACAAAGATCTCCCTCCTGCCACATTATAGTCACACCCACTCCCTCCCCCACATCATCCCTAATGCTTGGCACTCACTGATTTATTCTTCATCGTTATCATCTTGAGGAGACTGAGTTTTACATCTAACTTCTGACCCTGCCAGCTGTGTGACCTTAGAAAAGTCACTTCTCTTTTCTGGACTTTATCTTCTTGTCTATAAGAAGATAAAGTGGGACTACATCAGCACGTCTCTCAAATTTCCACAGGATGATAAGATCTCAAAATTCCTCAGGGATTATGAGAAGGAAAACGGGTCTTATGGTCAAACAAACAAGGGAAATGCTGCTGTAAGTAATAAGGTGGTTTCTTTTCTGTCAGTTCTCGGCCCTTTCATATGCTAAAGGGAATTGTGAATCTTCCATTGTGAGACATATGTGTAGCACTTTCCAAATTTATGTGAACACAGAATGCCACTCTCCCCCTTTCAAAAATATGTTCTAGAGCTAGTTGTTTAGGAATTGTACTTTGAGATATGCTGTTTCAGAGGATCTCTGAGGTGCCTTCCAGATGAGAATATCTAGGACTATATCCTCTGTAGTGGGTTGAATTGTGTCTTCCAAAAGATACATCCTCCCTGAATCTCAGGATGTGACCTTATTTGGAGTAAGGGCCTTTGCAGGTGTAATTGAAGAAAGGATCTTGAGGTGAGATCATCTTACTAGGGTGAGATCTAAATCCAATGAAGAATGTCCTTAGAACACACACAGACAGGGAGAAAAAGGCCATGTGAAGATGGAGGCAGAGACTGGAGGCCAGCCAGAAGCCAAGGAACACCAAGGATGGCTGGCAACCCCCAGAAGCTACAAGAAAGCATGGAAACTCCCTCAGAGCCTCTAGAAGGAACCAGCCCTGCTGACACCTTGATTTCAGATTTCTGGCGTCCAGAACTTTGAGAAAATTAATTTCTGTTGTTTTAAGCCACCCAGCCTGTGGTTCTTATGACAGCCCTAGGAAATGAATACACCCTTGTTAAGAATCTTGGAGATTTTGAAGCAAGGAGGGGGTCTCCTTTAAGTCTTCTGAGCCCCTAAGCTCCTTTCCTACTCAGGGTCTTTGCACATACTGGCCCCTCTGCCATGAACACTCTTCTCCATGCTCTTTCATATCTGTCTACTTCTCTTCCTTCTGGAATTAGTTCAGTGTCACCTCCTTAGAGAGGTCATGTATGGCCACCCGATCTAAAGCAGTCCTCTGCCCCACCATAGTTCTCTAATACAACACGTGTACTTTTTCTCCCAGCACTTAGTCCATGGTGTAACCACAGATTCACCTGTTCAATCATTTCATTGGTGGCTGTTTTCTATGAGGAAAGGAATGGTGGCTGTTCCGTGGGCCTTCCTTCCCAGGCCCTGGAAAAGTGCCTGACACATGAGAGGTGCTCACTAAGTTATTCAGTGAAAAAAAGAAAGGGAGGAAGGGAAAGAAAGAACACAATAACTCCTTTAGGATGGAGGGCCTGGCATCAACAGATGTCACTGAGGGGCGTTTGCAGGGCCAGAGAAACTCCTTTCCTGGGCGTTTCTCTTACAGGGACATTCGGGCTTTGCTTTCGAGGTGGCCCTAACCACAGTGGCTGCTGGGAGTGAGTCAACAAAGAGTGATGCCTCCCATGTGCTTGGCATTGTTCTTGATTCTGGACAGGACAGTGAACATGGAAAATCCCTGTCCCTAAGGAGCGTGGGTTGAGAGGGGAAACAGACTGTGAACACGTAAGCATGGGAATAAAATAGTGTAGCAGAGTAGGACTGGAGGGGCTGCTTTATGCAGCGTGGTCAGGGTAGGCTTCTTTGAGGAGGTGACAGGTGCAACCAGATTGATGGACAGATGGCAGCCACGTGAAGACTGGGAGAGAAGTTGGGGGTGGGGAGGTGGGATTCCAAGCAGAATATCCACCCAAGGCCCTGAGCCAGACTGCTCTGGGACAGTTACTGCTCTGAGAAAAGGCCACTGGGGCTGGAATGCAGTGAGAAGGGAGGAGGCGGGGTGGGGGTTGGGGGCCCACACGTTGTAAGTTGGGTTGTGCAGGCCACAGTCAGGGGGCTGGAATTTATTTCAAGTGCAATGGGTAACCATCAGAGGTCTTCAAGCTAGGGACTGACATATCTTATTTATGCTCTAGAAAGACCTCCCTGGCTGCAGTGTGTAGGGTGAAACTGCAGGGGGCAGGACGAGGAAAAAGTGGAAGCAGAAAACCCGTCAGGATGTCATTAGGACAGCCTCAGCTAGACTTGATGGGGACTTGGTCTAGGGCTGTGTAACAGTGAAATGGTGAAAAGTGGACATGGGGTCTATTTCAGAGGCAGGATAAGGGAATGAGGGGAAGAGAGAAATTCGAATAACTGTTTTTTTCGGCCTGAACAGCTGGCTGGCTGATGGTGACATTTATTTATGATGCGACACCTTGGGAAGGACTGGATTTGGGGTGGGGTGGAAAGAGATGAGAGCCTACTTTTGGCTGTGAAATGCTCATTAGGCATCCAAGTGGAGGTGATGGGTAGTTAATTATATAAGTCTCCTGGAGATCAAGGGGCAAGTGCTGGCCAGAGATTAAGATTTGAGATTCAAACAATAGATGGTCTATGAAGCGACAGAACTGGATGAGACCCGCTATGGGAGTGAATGAAGATCAAGACAAAAGGGCCAAAGACGAAACCTCTGGGTCAACTATCATTCAGAGACGCTGGAGGAGGAGGGAAAAGGGAAAGAGCCTGAGAAGGAGCAGCCCACGAGGAGGAGGAAAACCAGGGAAGGTGGCCTCAGAGAAGTCCACAAAAGAAAGCTTTTCATGGAGGCAGCGGCCAAGTATGTCAAATGCCATTGAGAGACTGAGTAACTGAGGGTAGAGTCGAACGTTGGCTTCAGCAAGATGTAGGTCACTGGTGATATGGCCTGAGCCAATTGACAAGAGCCAATTTATGTAATGATGGGGACAAAGGGCTGATTGGAGCCAGATGGAATGAGGATGGGAAGGAATGAAACAGCAGACGCAGAGGGACTGAGAGTATCAAGGGGGAGTTTTCTCTAAGATGGGTGAGGAGGCATATTTATGCACAGGTGATAATGATAAAGGTCCAGTAATGAGGGAGAAATGACTTGACACAGGAATAACTGCAGGAATGAGGTCCTCAAAAGGTCCAAAGGGGTGGAATCGAGTTGGAAGTGTAGGATGCAGTTTCCACTGTAACCAGAGGTGGGGGGTGGGGATTGGGTGGCACGTCTGTTTTTTTCTCTAAAGTTTGCGGCGCCATCACCAGTTGAAATTGAGGTTGGAGGCAGCTAGGTGGCTCAGTTGGTTAGAACGAGCAATCTGAACAAGGTTGCCGGTTCGATCCTCGCATGGGCCAGTTTGAGCTGCGCCCTCCTTAAAAAAGAAATTTGAAGCTGGGAATGTGGGAGGCTCAAAGAGAGTGGAAGTTATGTATTAGTCATCTCAAGAGTGAAGAAGTGAGGCTCCTAAGGCATGGTGGAGGAGTTGGGGGCCTGCTTGAGATTTAGTTTTGATTTTGAAGTGAGTCCAATTGCACAGGTGTGCTGGTTCTTGAGCAAAAGTTTTGCCAGGTGAGTATGATGGGTGGAGAAAGGGTAAGAGTTAGATACAGAACAGTGACTATCAGGATGGATCAAGGACTCCAAGCTGGATAAGGAGGGCAGTGATGACCCGGATGATGGCATTGCAAAAGGGCTAAGGCCCGTGGCTTGAAGGTGTCCGTGGGCTTAGGGAATAGCGGGCATGAGGCTAATACAGTACCCAAGCTGGAAGAATGGGTGATATTCAGGGCATGGGAAGTTTGAGGTTACCAGGGTGACAGTATCAGGTATATCCATTTAAGTGTGTGGCTGAGGAGAGATGGAGAAAGGTTCTCTGAACTCTCTTACCTCCTTAGCCCCTCCCAACTTGGGAGACAGAGAGCTCTATCCTACCAGAGCTGGAAGGGGTAAACCTCTTCATTGTACAAATGGAGAAACTGAGACCTGGAGATGTCAGGTACAGAAACCAAAATGTTGGAAGCTGCAGTTCTGAATCTCAGTCCCCGGGTGAGGTAAGATTCTTGTTGGTGCCACTCTCCTAACTTCCCACCTCAGCAGAGCTCTCTTACCCTCCTCCCCTCTATCCCTGGAGCATGAGGTCCTTCCCCATCTCCCAGCATGCCCCCTGCCTCAGTTTTTTCTGCACTCTCCAGTCGTCTGGGGCGTCCCCTGCAGACAGAAGTTCAAGTCCACAGCCACAAGGAGCGCCTTCTTGATGTTAACCAAGCTGTGTGTCTTTACAAATGTCTGGTGGCAGGTCGTCACACTTAATTCATTCATTCACTCACTCATCATTCATCCATTCGATTCCATCTTTCATTATTCATTCTTTGGGTTTGAGTGCTAAGCCAAGCAAAAGGGATGAATTCTCAGTCATTTTGAAAGTGTTTATCCACACACCCAACCAGCCAGATATCTGATATATGCTGAGTGCCAGTTACAGTCCTGCATAGGTTTGACATACGGGCATTACATGTCCTCACATGCCCGGCAGGTGTAGGCTTTCCCATGTTATCATGTATCTACTCCATGGGCCATAAACATGTCATGTGTATACCACAAGTCTGAGTTCTTCTAGCCTCTTCCTCAGAGCAGGGCTGATAACACATGAATTGTCATAGATCAAAGTTCACAAGATGAGTCTTGTAAAGCTTCTAAAGCGGCCATATTTTCCATTAAAGAAATCTTTTTTAAATTTGCCAAAACCATGGTTGCTCGTGGTAAAAAAATGCAATGACAAAGCATACAAAATAAAAACATTTCCTTATATATCTTGTCTATACATTTGCAAAGGGAAATCATATGATGTGGTATATATTTATAAATTGAGATCATAGGCTACTTTTCTGCTGCTTGCCTTTTCTCTATAATAATAAATGGTGGACATTGTGCCAGGTCGGTGTTGCATTTCTACTCCATTCTTTCTAGACACTGCACAGCATTCATAATATAGATGGACCTAGGATAGTTAACAGGCTCCTGTCAATAGACATTTTGGGTGTTTTCATTTACCCCCAGCTAGAATGCTGCAATGGCCATCTCTTTGAGCTCTCTTTTGCATGAGCATTTGTGAAGAATATTCTTTTAAGTGGAATTGCTGGGTTATGTGCATTTTACATTGTAATGGATACCCAGTGCCAGGCATGGTGCCAGAAACATAGTAGGATCTCTGTAAGTACCTGTGGCATGAATGGTTACTGCGAGTGTGCCCTCGAGGAAGCTCACACTATGTCCACTCCCACCAACAGTGAACACAGAGCCATAGAACTGGCCATTTCTGCCACCAGGACCCAGCAACGCTGGGCTTTGGGATGATCACTTTCCTCCAGGCCACTCTGCTGCTGCTGCTGGGAAGATTTCAAGGCCCCATGTCATCTTTGATGAAAGGAAGGCAGTGTCCAGGCTGAGCGTGACATCCTCCTCCAGGTCTGCAAAGCCCACTGCTTAACATGTTCCCATTGGGATGGGAGTTTACCACAGTGAGGGCAGTATCAGCTCTGGGACTTCTCTCATGGAGCTAGCCAGGTTTACACAAAGCACCCACATACCTTCCTTCTGCTCCTCCCCTTTCAATCTCTGAGATGGAAGGGAAACTTCCTATGGCTGCACTCATTCTGCCGCCAACTCTGGCACTATGTGGTCAGTAACCAATGTTCTCCCTCTGGGGCCCTGTCTCTAGCAGGAACCCTCAGCCAGACAGCCCATGTGCCCGGCATCTTTGGGGCTAGCTGTGCCATCCCATGCACCCCCCGGCCCTGCCACCTGCCTGTATCTTGATGCCCTAAGGCTGGATGTTACTGAGGGGACTGGAGGGGCCATCCTGGCCAGCACACCAGGGCCTGTTCTACCTCTAATCCTCCCAGGAGCTTTGACCAGCGTTGCTGCTTTGCACTGTATCTGGGGAGGAAGGCCCACATTCAACGCTGCAGGGGAGCAGTGCAAAGGCAAGGAGGAGGTCAGAGTGCAAAGGAGGAGGCCAGCTAGCTCGGGGGTCTCTCCCATCCTGCATGCCCCATGCCAGGCCCCACGCTCTGCTGCAAGCTCCCACAGGACTGATGGCTGCCCTGGGAAGATGCTGTGCTGCCATAGTGAGTGCTTCTTTCCTTTTAGGGGTTAGCAGATGGGGCTGAAATGGCGGTGCCCCAGAATCACACAAGACTGGAAGAAATGGGCAGATCTGCCAGTCTCGTCTCCTCCCCTCCCTCTAGGACAATCCAGGGTGGGGCTGATCAAGGTCTCCAGAGGCCCTGTCCCACAGATGGCCAGGCTCCCTACTCCCCTCCCCCATGGGGAGAGAGTCTCCCTGGGACAGCAATGGGAGGACGGGGTGGGGAAGACACCAGGGTCCCTCCTACCCCATCCCAGCTCTCTGTCCAGGCTCTTTAGCACCCAGAGACCTGAAGGAACTGGGGGTCAAAGCATCTGTAAAGATCCTCTCCCAGAGGGTGGCCCATGGAGGTAATGTCCTCCTAGGCTCATCATCAACACAGCCCCGGAGGACTCACCCATGGTGGGCACAGTGACGACCCCCTCTCCCCTCCAGTCCCCCAGCAGGGCCTGGGCTCACCTCCCCACATAGCCAGAGGCAGACTCTCAGCAACAATCAGCTAAAATGTAGTGAGTGTTGGTGGGCAGGGGTACGTAGGGTAGGGTAGAATGGGCTCTTCTCTATTCAGGCAGAACCGAAGATGGCTCAGAGCTCATTGAGATCATAGGTTATTGTTGTGCCACTTGCCTTTTCTCTACAATAAGTGATGGACATGTAGTCCGATCTCCCACAGTACAGGAGTACCCTTCATCTCAGAGCTGGCTGCTCAGTCAAGATTTGCATACCTCCACAAATGGGCTCTCCCCAGTCCTCAGAGTACCCCATTCTAGTGTCCAGCACCTCCAACTGTTGACATTTTCCTCTTGTCAGCCTCTGACTTGGATTAGGGGTGGGGAGGGAGTGGATGGACACTGTCGCTCCAGCCCAGCCGTTGGGACAAGAGAGACAGTTGGGGCGGAACAGGGGCAGAAAAAACAATAAATTAAACCCAAGAATGGCCAGAGATGTAGCAGGATAGGCGGGGGCATGGTGGGGATCCCAGGTGTCTCTGGCTTGATCCAGGGGGCGTTGGGGAGGTGGTGGCTGAAGCAGGGTTCCAGGCAGGTGGTGGCTCAGAAAGCTGGGTTGTCGATGTCCCTGTGGACCCCAGAATATTCTTCAGGCCTGAAGCTGTAGGGTGGGGGTGGCTCTGTGGGAGGTAGACCCAGGACCGGCTTCAGAATAATCTGCAGAGACAGGAGGGGACAGAGAGTCTTCTTAGGACCTAGCACTGGCCATCACCACCCATGTGCTGGTGGTGTGTCAGAGAGAAGTGACCTAAGGCTGATTGTAGACTCCTCCCTGAAGTAAGGAGGCCCTCCACTGTCCCTGTTGCTCTAAAAATTGGGACAATAGAGGAGGTACAGACAGAAGGCCAAGGAGCAGAGCAGGGATTGGAATAGACACCCACCTCACTGTAGGGGGGTGGGGGCTCAGAGATGGATACGCTGGCCCTTTCTGTGGGGACAACAGAGGGCTGTTCCGGGGGCCCCTCCTGACCCATCGGGGGATCCTGCGGCTGCTCTCTGCAGTTGCGACAGAAGTGCTTAGCGAGGCCACAGATGCACAAGATGGGCATGACGATCAGGAAGACGATGATAAAGATCCTGGAGTGAGGAACCACATCAGCCTGATAGTCCAGGCCATCCCCACAGCATCTCCCTCCCTCCCTTGACCTACACCAACCCCCAGGGCAGGAAGTCCAGTTCCATCCTGTGTGGACCAGGCCCCTGGGGGGAGGGGGGCTGTGCCCAGAGGAGCTGGCCCTGGGCTCACCTCAAGGGACCAGAGAAGAGCTCATACTCCTGGCAGCAGTTGTCACCGCAGCATTTGAATCCTTTGGGGCAGGTGCTGGGGATGGGGGCAGAGAGAGGCTGTTGGTGGGGAGGCAGAAGGATGCCAGCCTCCCCAAAACGCACCCATATACTCAGGGCACAAGCCACACCCCTAGCGAGTTGAGGGTAGGGGATGCCCCTGGGCTCAGTGGGAGGAACCTGGGGCTGGGATGAGAACCCAAGTTCCAGGCCCACCCCACTGCTGGCCTTTTTATGTTCCTTACTGGGCTTCACTTTTCTCATCTATAAAATGGGTATTGTGAACGTCACGTCAGCCTCACTGGGCAGGTATGGGGACTGAGTGTTATAGTGGCTCCATCACCCTAAGGGGCAGTGGGGAGTACCCAGGAGCTAACTCGAGGAGGAGCGAGCCCTTGCTGGTGCCCACAGAGTAGGAAGAGGGAAGGAAAGGGTGCTCCCAGCACACCCAGTGCTGGCTTGATGGAAACACTCTTATGACTCCCCTCAGCCCTCCCCACAATGTGCTCAGGCTGCCTGGCATTTATATATTAAGGTCACACACACTGTTTGCCCCACCTCCCAGGGGTCCCCTCAGATGGGAGATGGCCTGAGACTGCAGTAAGAAGGAGGGGGTTTAGGCTTCAGATGGCCCAGGCGTGTGAAGCTCCCCTTGGGGAGGCTGGTGGGGAGGGGTAAGCAGCAGAGTGTCCTTCTCTGGGTGGGGGCGTGGGGGGATTGTTTCTGGCTAGACTGGGTGAGGATGATGGATGAGGTGCCCCCTTCCATGAAGGCAGGCAGGGGAGGATTTGCAGTGTCTCCTCCCCAGACTGCAAGTTCTAGCCCAAACCCCAGACTTACGGGAAGGAGCCACATTTGGCTGCAGTCTGTGGAAGAACAGAGGCAGAGGTTAGGGGGGGTCATAAATTGGGGGATGGTGTCTCCACCCAGATGCTGCCCAGGTACCTTGGCAGGTCCCCAGTGGATCAGCCTCTTCCCCCAAAGCCTACTCTCCACCTCACTCCACCGTGTTCCCCAGGTCAGTAACAGGAGCCGGAGCCCCAGCTGCCACCTGGCGGGGGCCCCCAGCCCTCCTTCCTCTCCTTACCATGCCTCTCCACACACAGTCCCTCCTCCCCAGGTCTGTAAGCCTTCTGTCAACTCCATTCCAGGACGCCAGCCACTCTCCTCCTGCCCTCCGACCTACTCCCCACACTGCAGGCAAGTTCCTATTCCCTGTGTCTGATCACCGGCAACCTTCAGCGCCCCCTGGGGCCCAGACCCAGCAGCCAGCTTTAGCACCTCTCCCCGCTCACCCTTTGCACACACACCCACTGGGAGTTCCCTGAACACACCTGGCTGTTACACCTGCGTGCAGGGGCAGGCCCTCTTCCCCATGCTTCACGGTCTGCTGAACCCGTTCATCCTTCAGGTCCCTGCCTGGGCGAAGCTGCCTGGATCTTCCTCTCTGGAGCTAGCTCCTCCCTCTCCACCCCTTCTGCCCTAGTTCTGAGGGGCATCTAGGGTATCCGCCAAGAACTGAACCCAATCAATAGCAGTTACGTGTGTAAGCCCTTCTCTGAACACGCTTCCCCCAGGTATCTGCAAGGCTGGCTCCAGCAGCCCCCTCGCTGACCATCTTATTTAAAATTACATCTACTGCCTCAAAGCTCTTCCCTTCCTCTCACTGTGCTTAATTTTTCTGCCTAGCTTTTTATCAACATCTAACCCATTACGTATTTTCCTTTATCTTGTTAATCATCTGTCTCTGAGAATGTCAACTCCACAAGGCAGAGGGATTTTGGCCTGGTTCATCACTGTTGAAAACCCAACAGTTACAGTATTGACAGAATGAATAAAAAAGCATTCATCAATTACCTAGTTTCATTTCTTCCTGACCTCGCCCAGGCTGGGGGGGAGGAGAAGGGAGGGGAGGAGGAATGCAGGAGTGGGAACACAGTGGGGAATGGGAGGGTATCTGTCACCCAGAGAGGGCCAACCTTGGAGCAGGCTAGCCCAGAGAGGGTGAGGGCCACACAGCATAGAGGGGCCACTGAAGAGCTGGGGACAGACCAAGGGGTCCAGGCACTTGTCGGCCACCCCTTTTCCCTGGGATCCCAGACCCTGTCCCTCCTCCCTCTCCTCACCTCCACCTAAGCCGGATGGATGTGAACAAGTTTAATACGTGAGTCTTGAGTTCCTGTTTGGAAGGTTTAGGAGATCTCCTAGATTCTCTTCCCCCATTATACCAAGGGGGTGGTCTTGTCGGAGGTGATCCAGAGCCTGAGTTTTATCAACTTGAGTTTTATCAACTGTCAGAATAATCCTGGAGAACCTCAGCTTACTGTCATGAGCTGCATAACCACATTTAGGTCAACAACTGGTGGCATATGCAATGCCATAAGATTATAGTGGAGCTGAAAAATTCCTATCACCTAGTGACATTGTAGCCATCATAAGGCTGTAGTGCAACACAGGATTCATGTTTGTGGTGATGCTGGTGTAAAAACTGCCTGCACTGCTGTGGGTCCTCACAGCCTGTGGAACAGTTCAGGGAACGTTCCACCCACACTGATCCAAGAAGAGAAAAGAATAGCTGAAGCCCCAGGAGCCTCTGCAAAGTCTGTAACAAATGTAACCTGCTTGTGCACTCTGAGAAGTGCATAACAGGATGTAACTTACTAATGTCTAACCCTATAAACAGACCCCCTGCAGCTGCTTACTGCTCTCTGCAGCTAGCTGCATGCTACTATATAAGCTTTCTGCAAAAGATAGACGTGGCCATTGCTCCACCATCAGCGGTCAGTGGACCTCCCGATCCCAGCTTTTGTCTCTGTGCCTTTCTTTTCTAATCTCCCACCCAGTCCACTCCAGTAGCTTCGGTTGACGAGCAGGTCGGGTCACACTGCCAGACGTATAAAAGTATAGCACATATGTTATATACAGTATGTAATAATTGATCATGATAACACATGACTAGGTTACTGGTATTTACTAGACTACACTTTTTTACCATTTATTTTATAGTGACTCTACTTAGAATAATAAAAAGTTTGCTGTAAAACAGCAGCCATATTACACCAGAGCAGCCTCCTACATCTCGTGTTGGCTGCATCTCTTGTGCTTGATTTAATATTCTGTTGTTTTATAAATTGGGTGTAGCATAAGTGTACAGTGTTTATAAAAGCCTGAAGTAGTGGACGGTAATGTCCCAGGCCTTCACATTCACTCATCACTCACTCGCCCTGAGCAATTTCCAGTCCTGCAAGGTCCATTCATGGTAAGTGCCCTATACAGGTGTGTGATTTTTTTATCTTTGACACCATATTTACACTGCACCTTTTCTATGTTTAGATACACAAACACTTCCCGTTGTGTTATAATTGCCTACAGGATTTAGTACAATAACATACTGCACAGGCGTGTAGCCTAGGAGCGCTAGGCTGTACCACCGAGCCTAGGAGTGTAGTAGGCTACACCATCTAGGTTTGTGTAAGCGCATTCTGTGATGTTCGCACACGAAGTCACCTAACGAGGCGTTTCTCAGGATGCATCCCCACTGTTAAGTGGTACATGACTGTACTTACAGGTGAATTGGGGGCATCATCGGCGCCTGCCCCCTGGAATTGTAGGGAGGAATCAACAAGAAGATGCTCAGCCTAGTGTTGGCACAAACTGATGGCCTAGAGATGGCGGAGTACTAGGACTTCAGGGGCTGAGCCACTCTGGAAGTCAGCACAGTCGTGTGAACGTGTCCTGTTCTGGGGAGCCAGCCTGGGACTTCCCTTAGATCTTATAGAGAAGTTTAAAACTCTGTGTTCTAGACTCACATCAGTTCTCAGGGTAATCTCCCATCCTGGGACTGGATAGAACTGTCCCATCACTGGGGGAGGGAGAAATGAGGGCATGCCTGTCCACTGTCAGAAGCACAAATTTCAGAGGTCACCCCAGCCTTGGGTCAGGCAGCCAGATCAAATCCTACAGGTGGCTGGAATCCTACCCCCATTCCTAGAAAGGGACTAAGGTGCCTCCTCTCCCCTAGGGCACAAGCAAATAAACAGTCCAGAGAGGGCCCGGCCACTCCCCAAGGTCACCCAGCACTGGAGGAACAGAGCTGGGAAGACAGGCTGGACAACCGTCCAGACCTCAGCCTCAGTCCCTGCTTTCTGACGCAGCAAGGACTAATCAAGGCTAACACGAGGGTCGAAGTCCCTCCTCACACAGAGGCACTAGGTGTCAGATGGTGGTGAGTGAGAGCCAGTGTCATTACACAGTCCCCCCAGGCTGAAGGAACTCCGGCCTTTTCAGGGCCTCCCTCCGCTGCCCCCACCTCCACCTCCCCAGCAAAATGAGAAAGGAAGTTGCTAACAGCGTGTGGTCACGAGGAAATCCTAACAATGGAAGGTGTCCACCCAGCTACAGAAGCAGGCCCCTGACCTACAAGGGTAGGGCCCTGAAAATTCTACAGCTTTACCTCCCGAGCGCTCACCTGTTGGAGGCCGGCCAGCAGGCCGAGCAGCAAGGTGGGCACGAGACCTAGGACCCAGGCGTCGGACATCCTTGGCATGGGGGCCACTGAGCTTCCGTTTGTAAGGAGAGGACGGGAGAGGCGGGGCCGCGACCTCTCCCACATCTCTCCACCTATGGGGCCCCGCCTCAGGATGGGGGCGGAGCTTATGCACCGGGATGGGCCGGACTTGGAGTTGTGAGAAGAGAAAGGGAGGGTAAGAGGTCCGGGTTGGCTTTTGGGAATTGAGAAGTAGAAGAGATTAATTGATAAAAATTGTAAGGTCAGAGCAAGACTGCTAAGCTACCTCTTCCCAGCCCCTAACTACTGCTCCACCCCTAAGTGGTCCCAGGTTTAAGAGAGGGCGTGCTGCGCCTGGCAGGGGGAGAGAGGAGGCAGGCAGAGGGAGCCGGACCCCTGCAGTAGCTTCCCACTTCACCTTCTTCGGGGCAGAGGTTTGGGGAGAGGGGAAGCGAAGGTCCTGGAGTGGACTGAGGAGTTTGTATCGGGGGAGGTGTCACCCCCCACACACACACCTTTTTTGTTTGTTTTTTGTTTTTTGGCCAAGAAGAGAGAGAGAGGAGCGGCCTGGCTGATTTCTGGATAAGGAGAACCAAGACCACAGAACGGGTACATTCGAGTCCCCCTCGCCTCCCTTGAAATTCTGGAGGAAGTGTTGGTACACTTCCTCCTTTTGACTACAGGGGAAATTAAGTCCCCAGGGTTCAGAGAATTGCTCTAAGAGTCCGAGGTGGGGCGCAGCGGCAGCCAGGAGAGTTTCCGCTCGGGCGAGGAGGCCCCTCCAGATTCCTGGAAAGACCCCGCGGAGACGGTTCCAGCGGGGAGGGGCTGATTCCGACCTTCCGGAGGCCACGCCCCCTCCACTTCCAGGGTCCCGCCGGCAGGTGGTAGCATCGCTCAACGCGGGATTCCGCCGGAGCTAGGGGGCTCAGGGCTGGGACCCGAGACTGGGTCTCCCCAAGCTTTCTCCTGGGGAAGCTGGCTGGTGGGCGGAGTGGGGCGGGGTGGGAGGCCCTCTCCGAGCGTGATAGGCGCAGGATGAGAGCCAGACGCCCAAACACGGATGAAACGTGGGAACCGTGCCGGAGTAGGAGAGATGGAGTCCGGATGCTTGGGGAGGGGGCGCAATGGAGATGGTGGGTGGGGTGCTGCGCCCTGGCCCGGGGAAAGAGAGTGGGCTCCAGGAGACGCCCAGTTCTTAGGTTTTCAGACGTCTCCTGCTGTGTCTCAATTCTGACTTTGCCACTGAAAAATACCCCCAAGTTAGCATGACAGGACAGCGGTCTCCTCTGGCTCCTTTTCCTTGTTCTCCCACCGCTTTCTCTTTATTTCTGTTTCTCATCTCTCCCAGTCTTGTTATCTCTGTCTTATGTTTAGCCTCTCCTTGTCTCCGCATTTCTCCCAGTCTGTCTTCCTGTTTCAGTTTCTCCCCATTTCTGTCTCCACGCGGTTTCTCTCCATGTTTCCTCGTGCTCCTCTGTTTCTCGTTTCTTCCTTAATCTGTTTGTTTCGGTCGAGGAGTCTGCTTTTCTCTCTCTGTTTTCATTTCCCTGTCTCTGGTTTGGTCCTGTGTCTTCCTGTCTCTATGTGTTTTACTCACCGACTTCTTGGTCTCTGCCTCCCAGTTTATCTCTTCCTGGTCTCTCTCTCCCCCTTTCTTTCCCTCCCTCTGTTTCTCATTATCTCTTGGCCCTTTTCAGCCCCTAAGGACAGAATCTTCTAGTCTCCTGATCCAAATGGAATTGGGGTCTGGCCCTAGAGAATGCCCTCTCTATTCGCATTTCCTGGTGACTCTGAGCTCAAAGAACGGAATGTGCGTGGGATAGGGGCACCTCTTCCCTCTGCCCTTGCAGTTGGCTGGGGACCCAGCCTGCCCCTCTGCTAAGGGAGACCTAGTCCAGAGAGTGCTGGAGCCTTCTCCCAGCAATGCCCATTCTGCTGCCTCCTTAGTGAAGTCGTTGCTTACTTGGGCTTCTGGGGCCCTCCCGCCCCTGCCCTGGCCTCACTGCCTGGGGAATCTCTGCTGCTCCCCTGCTACTCTGCCCAAGCCTAGAGCCCTACAGAGGTGTGGCCCTTAGGGGAGAGGAAAGAAGTGAGCTTAGGGGAGAAGGGTGTCCTGGGGAGTGAAATGAGGGTGCTGAGGCGGGCACAGAGAGGCTTGAGGGGTAGGTACTGGAGACTGGGAGGGCTGAGGAGAAGGGACCAGGCAGGCACCAGTGCACTGAGGATGGGCAGGAAGTTGGCATCACTCTCCTCTGGCTCTCTGGCACCCACCTGACACAGATCGAGGCTTGCCAGATAAAATACATGACGCCCAGTTATATTTGAATTTCACATAAACAGTGGATAATATTTTTAGCATGAATATGTCACATGCAATATTTGGGGCATATTTATACTAAAATTTATTTGTTGTTTATCAGAAATTCAAATTTAACCAGGTGTCCTGTATTTTTATATGTTAAATCTGACAATGCTATTCACATCCCTAAAATGTCATAGGAGCAGACATTTGAGAACGGCTACTCCACTCACTGGCCCACATCGGCCCAATGGGAAAGAAAGTCTCAATGGGGCAGAGTCCAGAGAGCCTCTAGAACCTGCCTCTGGGACCCCAGTTTTTTCATGACACCAAACTGCCCTTCTATGCTCCTTCCTGCAGACACAGATGGGGTGAGAGGCCCAGAGGTGGGTGGTCCCGGGCCAGGCCAAGAACTCTAAGCTTTGTTGTCAGCATCTATCATGGCTCCCAGAGCCCCAGCATTCTTGATGGGTGAGGTTGGGGGCGGGGGTGGCAAAAAGGGGCCCTAGAATGAGCAGACAGGACTGTTGTGTAGAGGCAGAAGGGTACTGGACAGGGTCCTGTTGACTCTGTTCAACAGTCAATTTGGCAGTGCAAGGGAAGTGTGTGCATGTGTGCACGTGTGTGCTCAGGCATGCAGGGGGCAGGGAGGCCCCGAGACCTCATGTAGTCAGTGGGTCCTTCTAGATTCCACACCAAATTCCATCTGGGGTTTCCCAAGAGCAGCCAAGTCCAAATGTCTTCATGCTCACTTGCCACCTCCCCAGTCCTTGCACTAAAGAACAAGCTGATTGTCTGTGCATCCTGCAAGGGCCCAGCTGGAAGGTTCCTGGGAGGTCAGCTGGTCGACCCGCCCCTTCACAGAGGAGCCAACTGGGGCTCAGAGGGGTGGGAAGGCCAAGTCACAATAGACTTTGGGGCTGAGTCAGGACCAGAACCATGCAGGTCTCCAGACCCCACACCCAGAGGGAGCCTCCGAGGAGGGAGCCGCTGCTCTGGATGGAGGAATCCTCACTGGGGGCTGGGGTGGGATTCCTGTGCAGCCTGGCTTAGCCCAGCCCAGGGGGTCAGGGCTTGTTCCTCTCAGCCCTTCCCCCTCCACTCCCACCATACTGTGGTGGACACTGATACGCATAATGACTTATGGCTCTAGGCTGGGAGCTTTCTTTTCAAAGCATACAGAACATTCTGCTTTAGCCCAGCTCTGCCTGAAGGGACAGTGTTGTGTCACATTGGTAAGTGTGCCACTTACTGTGGCGTGCTGTGTGACCTCAGTCAAGAAACCAAACTTCTCTGTGCCTCTCTAAACTCATCTGTGAAAGGTGGGGGTGGATAACCTTCTTTATCACATAGGGTCATTATGAGGATGAAATAAGCTACCCGGGGTCTGGAATACAGTGATGGTAAATAAATGTTAGTTTAATTGATAATAACATGCAATAAATGTTTCATTCCTGCCAAAGGAAAGGGGCCCAAAACTCCTTCTCCCCATTTCACATAGAGGAAGGGGGAGGTGACAAGGAATTAAGGGTCTTGCTTCCCTCTGAGAACTGCTGTCTCCCTCTGGATGGGCAGTGAAGTCCAGCTCCAGTTCCCCTAGAATACACAAGCTCACTAGCTCCCTCTACTGTCCATTAAGTGCTCTGGGCTCCACCCAAGAGCCCGGTCAGAGAGGGCTGGGCTGGTGACCTACCTCAGAGGGTGACCTGGTATTGACCTTTCCTCCTCCAGGGCCACAGGGGACTGACGCGGCAGTGGTGCTGGGACCAGACATTTGAGCAATTCCCTCTATTCCTGGCTTTTACCCTCCTTCTGGTCCCCCACTGCTCACTGAGTGCTCCCTGGGTCGGCCTCATGGTGGGTGCCTGGGGAGTCTGGGGACTGTGCTTCTCACAGGTGTCCCCACTGCCACTGCCTCCACAACCATCTTCGTAAGGCCTCCAGCCTAGTCTCCCCATTGCCCATGTTAGGGCATGTCACTCTCTTGCTCCCTAACTTCCAGAGGCTCCTCCTCACCTCTGCGGGAATAAAGTCCCATCTCAGGAAGACCTTTGGGGTCCTTCCTGACCAGACCCCACCTGGACCTGCAATGTGCTTTCCCTGTCCTGCCCATATGTTCTCCAGCCACACACCGACACTGTTTCCCTCCGTTCCTCAGCTTGGGCAGCTCTTTCCACTTAGAACACCTGTCCCCAGACCCCTCCCTGAAACCTAACAAATTCTCACTCATCCTTCAAGGTTCTGCTCAAATACTACCTCCTCCAGAAAGCCTTCTAGGACTTGGATCTTCCTGAGAGAAGTGACTGTCCCTCCCTGCTCACCCTCACCCAGGCTTTCTCTCTGGGCTTTAGTCCCTAGAAGATGTGTATACATGTCCTAATGTTCCCACCATGCCGCAGGGGCTGGCCCAGTTCTGATTCAGCTTTCATTTCCCCATGGTGCTTTGTTCCAAGTAAACACTGGCTCTGTTGTCACTGAGTTGAAGCTGGTTGGAGGCCTCCTGGGGTCAGAGACCAGATTTCTCCAAGAGGATTGGGAATGAATCCCCAAAGTCTTTGGTGGGGGCGCTTTCGGCTGGCGTGTGTGTG